GTAAAATTATTGTATAGCTACCTGCTCTGAAATGAAGATATATACACCTTCACATATAGATCACGCCCATATATAAACACACACACATATACACACTCACAGACAGTGTGAATGCGTCCACTCTGCCTCCTAACCCTCTCCCCATGACTGGGACCACATGGTCCTTCTCGCAAGACCATCTGGCCCCAGGACTGGACCCTCATGTCCATCTACAAAGCAGCAGAGTCCTGCCCTGGCTCTGCTGTTCCAAATTTTTTGTTTCCTTCCCAGGAAATACAATGGTTCCAGGCACGACGGGTTATAAGAACCTCAAGCAAATTCTGTGAGTAGGTTGGGGTAGAGCCTTTGGTTCAATCCCCGTGAAAACTCCTCCCCAGCTCTGGCATAGCCTGCAAGCCTGTGGAGTTCTAGAAGAGGACTTGGGGCAGGGCTAGTGCTCAGGGGACAGCCTTGGGGACAGAGCTGTCACCAGGCCTCTCCTTAAACTTCTCCACCCTCAGGTTCCCTGCAACAGTGGCAAAATGAGAAATAAAGATGGAAAAGTACTCGACAGCAAGCAACAGGACTTTACACAGAGAGACATGAGCGGATGGAGCAGGGGCTTTGCCTGTAACTGATTTTTTCCCCTGTCTTTATGTTCTTTGAAGCTCTGGGGAAACATTAAGGTATTAGCATTTGCTAAATGTGTAGAGAGATGTTTGTTGTTTTTATCTGTATTTTCCCACATTTTAAGGACACAGTTGTCCCTCACACTTATCAGAGATAATTCCAGGGCTGCAGCCCCTCACGGACACAGTGACAGACTCACACACAACCTGCATGACCTCCCAGGAGCTCTGGGTTACCTTGTGGTCACTGATTCCCAATAATGAGCTGTTGCAGGGATGGCTAGGGAATGATGAGTGGGAGAGGCCGCACAGGCTCGCTATGGGCACTCTGGGCCTATTAAAGACTTCTGTTTGGGACTGGCTGAATTTGGAGCTGCGGGAGCTCGTGGGTGTGGGGCGCTGATGGGGTGCCAGGCACTGAATATGCGCTCCCAGCCTCATTTCTGAATTAAGTGAAAGAGAGCAAAGAGTGGGACTGAGGACATTAGGGAAACAGGTTTGAGCCTCCTGTGGTTTACATAAAGGGTAAAGGGGAGGAGAAGAGGACAGGTAGGAGGAAGAGAAGGAAGAGGAGAAGCAGGAGGAGGAGGAAATTCATCTGTAAACACTTGCACTTCATTACCCACAAATCTCTGCAAACCTGTGTCTTGGGCAGGTGGCACCTGCAGCAGCTTGCCGACCACCAGGAGGGAATCTGGCCTCCGAGTTCTGCCCCAGGAATCTTCCCATTGCGTCCCATGCAGAAACAGCCAGGCTGCACTCGGAGGGGCTCAAGTGTACCCAGTGGTCCTGCCCGGGAAGGGGCTGGGGGCAGAGGAAGCATGAACTGGTACCATGTGCTTTGTATCACATCACTGTGCGCTGACTAGTGTCTTAGATAGAGAATAAATTTATTGACTGCTTTTTAAACAGTTTTGTAGTTGTGAAGGTCCTGGGAGGAACCACAAGGCTCTTCCAGGCAGCAACTTGTCCTCTTCGAGTGGGTGCTGGGTTCTGGGAGTGGCTGGGACTCGGGATAGGAGGAAACCAGAGGGGCAGGGGATGGAGGCTTAGAGGGGCGTGTGGGGCCTGGAACATGGGTAGGGACAGCCAGGCAGATGCAATTGCTTGGCCTGCACGGTAATTTCTGGCGGGTCTTCCACTTCAGGTGCATGTGGTCCACAGCCTTTGAGGGGTAGCTAGACCCGCAATCTAACGCCACCTTGCCCAGAGGCTGCCGGGAGACAGCAGAGGCAGAGGTGGCTGGGCCCAGGGGTGGGAGGCAGGCAGGCCAGGGTGTCCTTCCCCAGTGAACATCAGCTGCTGGGCACTCAGCCCAGGGCTCGGGATAGAAATATAATCTGCTAATTAAGCTAATTGTCTGAAAGGCATTTTTCTTGTATAGTCATCGAAAAGAGGCATAATGAGTGTAAAAACAAAGGGATCTTTCATTTTCTCATCCCCGCCTTACATCCATCCGAGGACTCGCCTGGTGGGCGTAATTAGAAGCTCTTGCTGCAGCCCTGAAGCTGGTTTCCCAGGGGACACGGAAGTCGCCTCCCTGCTCTCCATGGAGCTCTGGCACTGGAACGTTCCCCTCCACATGCATCACCTGGATATTCTCCACTCCTCGAAGATGGACTTGGGGGACACTGAGACGTGGACACTGCCATCCAGGCCCCACCTCGCCTGTGCATGGGGGAGCTATTCTGGTCAGAAGAGCCTGGACCTGGGGTGGGGACCAGGGTCACAAGGTCACTGAAGACCAGGGCCCCAGGTCTACAGGTGGGGTGCAGGTTGCTGACAGGAGGAAGAGATCACTGATGGGCAGGGACAGAGAAACAGTCGAATGGGTACTTCCGCTTCCCGTGCTCCTTGACAAAGCTGTCTCTGTGCAGCTGTTCTGCCTTGTTCTGGGGCCACCAGCTGACCTGGCTCGGCATCCTCGGGCAAGGGCAGCCTGTTGGCAGTCAGGGAGCAGGGAATAGCAGCAGGGAGCGTCCCTGGGATGGACCGGGAGCCTTTGTTTCCTCTCAAGATTTAGCTCCAGTTGTCTCCATGAGAATGGGTTTGGGGGTGCTTCTACCACTGCCTGTCCCTCCCTGAAGATGCTCTTCTGCATTCGGCCACGTTCTCCCAACTTCCAGACGAACCCTTTGCACCAAGTCCTCGTCCCTGTGTCTGCTTCTGGGGGGCTCAAAGGAAGAACTACCCTGCAGATCCAGCAGAAGGTGGTTGTGCCTGTAAACCGCCACCCATGTGAGCCTTCTATTCACCGGGGTCCTGGTCCCAGCTCCCCCTGCCCCTCTACCTTAGGCTGCAGCTTTCATGGCTGTGAGCTACTCCCTGGGAGACACCAAAGAGACTGTCCGAGGGACATGGAGCTTCTGGGGGCCTGGGCTGGGCCTGCCCTGCTTTAATCTGTGCTTATCTAGTTTCCCTGCGGCTTCAATCAGAAGGAGGCACTGCTAATGCCCTGAGGAAGGTGGCACCCAGAGCCCTCAGCCACTGCACACTGAGCCCCTGCCCCCCACCGGACCCCTGGCTCCGCAGCCTGCACAGAGCCCCATGGGCCTTGGGGAGATGTCTGCTGGCCTCGCCCTTGGCCAGCACCCAGGGGTCACAGTAGCTGCCCCCACCACAGGAGATGCGGTGCATTGTCATGGAGACCCTTGGGGAGGGAATCTGGAAAACCTTCACTGAATCTCCAGTCCACGCTTTTGCTTCACACCCTTCCCATTTGGTCGGTGGGTATTTGTGACATGCTTGCTGGTCACAGAGGCACTTCCTTTCCTTGGAGCCTGCAAGAGACCAACAATGGGCTCCAACAAGACAGCCACACCCAGCCCCAGGAACCTGCAGGCGCGTTGGCTTCACAGCAAAAGAGACTTTATAGACACGAGGAAGTCAAGGATCTCAAAGAGGGGAGAGGCCCTGGCTTATCAGGTGGGCCCAGTGCAGTCAGGAAGAGAGAGAGGAGGCAGGTTCAGAGATGAAAGGGGCCGTGCACTGAAGGAGGAGGGCAGCCTTCTGGCCGAAAGGCAGGAAGTGGGTTCCACAACTTCTGAAAAGGAGCACCGACCTCTGGTGCTGTGACTTAGCCCATTGGGCCTCATTGCAGGCTTCCAGAACTACAGGATGGGACACTGGGGTGGTTTTCAGCAGGTTATCTGCTACCCCAAACTAGTGGAGAAACAAGTATGGCATCTTTACACTGTGCCCTCTGCCAGGGACACCCTGCCTTCCCTTCCCACTTCCTGCCCACAAACCCGCTGACCTTCCATCCCTGGTTCCAGGGTCAGCTTCTGCTCGGGAGCTGCACCTGCCCTGCCCCTGCAGCTATTGCCCACCTCAGGAAGCCCCAAGCCCGTCCCCAGCTCCTGCCTTCCAAACACTGCAATCAGTGGGAACACTTTCCCTTCTGCACCTCTGGTACTGCTGGACATTGCCAAGAATTTTACTGCAACAGAGGGGAAAGGCAATGACTTCTCAGACTATAAACAGGAGGAAACTCCTGATGTCTGTAAACATAATTTTGTTTTGGTCCTAAAAATTCCAGAGTGGCAATAAAGTGCTCACAGGTGTGTGTATCTCTATGTGTGTGTAACTCGTCCGAATTGAGACACTGTGGTTGGGAAATGGGCACAAACTCACTTGCCCTGGACATGCCAGGAGGGCTGCTCCCAAAGGCCTTTCCTGTGGCACAGGCCCCTCTGGGTGGAGATGCCACCTGTGTGGCAAGGACCTTGGGCACACTGTAGGTTCCTGCAGAGTTGGCTTGGGGCAGCTCAGAAGCAGCAGTGTGGCCACAGTTCTCTGATCAGGAGCACCCCAGGCCCCTACCCCAGGTTATCTCAGATCTCCACCTGGAGAGACTCTGAGGTGCCCCACACAGACCAGGAAGGCAGAGTGTGGTCTGGATGAACCAGGGAACCATTACCCAGTAATCAGGCTGTGCATCTCCAGGTGACAGTTGGCTCTGTCTCTGCAGCACCGTTATCATTTGCTGAGAAGCCAGGCATCATAGCTGGGAAGTGACAGCCAGGGCGAGGTTCCCATCTGCCCAGCAACAAGGCTGGAAGAAGCTGTTTCTTACCATGGCCACACTGACTGATGTCATGGTTTGTATCTGGATGTCTCTCAGAGTCTCATGTGGTCATGGAGGTGGCTTGAGTCTAGTGTTTGTGATTGGTTGGTTGTCTAGCACTGGGATTGGTAGTGTGAGTGCTGTACCCACCCTGGTGTGGGGAGCAGGCATCAATCAATCTAAGGGAGGGAAGGAAGGAGGCGTTTTTCCCTTTTACCCATTTGCTCTTGTCAATTTGGAATCTGCCACAGCTGCTCATGCAGCTGCACCTCAGCCATGCCACCCCACCTTGGAGCCAGCTGGGTATGCACTGAAACCTCTAAAAATAGTGAGCTAAATAAACCTTTGCCCCCTTTATTTTGGGTGTCAGGTATTTTGTCCCAGCAGCAAGAAAAAATTAACCAAGACAATTGACTTCCAGGCCCAGGACCAAAGCCGGGTCTGGATGGCGGCTGATGTGATGTTGGCTTCTTTTGGAAGAGCCAGGATCTGCAGTCTCCATCCAGGATGCATGAGGGCAGGAACCTGTCATGAAGACGATCTTCATACCCTCGACTGTGGGAGCTGATGACCTACACAGGAGAAATGAGATGTGTTCATTCCTGGGAAAGTTGGCAGTTATTATTACCCTGTTCCTGGCAGCGTCCTGGCCTCTTGTTCCCATGAAGTGTTGTACCTTGGGAGGCTGAGACAGGAGGATTTCTAGGCCAGCCTGAACTATGTAGCAAGACCTTGTCTCATATATGTATGTATATACGTATATACAAAAGGTCTGGAGATATAGCATAGCGCAAAGACTCTGGGTTCATTCTCCCATACTGCAAACAAGTAAACAGAAAATCCCAAATAACTGGTCGAGCTGTACTTGGAAGTAATTTTTCCCAGGACAGAAAACACACTTTTGCCAATGAAAGGTGAACGTCCTTTTGGCCTGAAGGGGTCCGTGGTGAGGTACTTTGTGTCTCCTCCTGGAATAAAGATTCCCACCTCCCCAGGAGCGCCCCAGCTCCTCTCCTGCACTGGCACCTGGAGAAGCTCAGAGGTCCCTGTGGCCTGGCAGGACGATGGGCTGGGCTCTCTCTCTGTGTGTCCTCTGGGGCCCACCAGCCCCAGCGCGGGGTGTGGTTTCCTGGCCTGTGGCTCCTAACTGCACCATGCCTGGTCCTGAGAAGCCAGGTTGCAGACTGCTGGACTAGGTCTGGCCTTCGCCCTGGCCGGAAGGTTCTCTTCCAAGGTGTCCTTACTCTGCTGCAGGTTTCTCTGCACTCGCGGGCTCCCCAGAGGCATCTGTGCCCACCCTGGGCACTGACTGGGTCGTGGCTTCCACAGTGCCACTCTTGAGCTACCATTCAAACTGAGGCTCTGCCCCGCCTGTCCCCTGCATCCCCGAAGGACTGAGAGCCCTGCCATTTCACCTGCAGTCTCCCCAGCCTCCTCCCTGCTTCTTAGGCCTCAGGCTCTGACCACTGGGTATGGAGTCACTGTCCACTGAGAGACATCGAATCTTCATCCGCAGGGCCCAGTGTCCTTTCATGAAATGGAAATGAATTTCATCACAGGAGGGGAAGGACGCATAGCTCCAGCTGCTTAGCTCCCAGCTTGTGAGCTATCAGCTCCACGCTGGTCACTGTGACAGAGAAGCAAAGGTCTGGAGGAGACACACACACAGCTGTGATGCCACAGTCCCCTATCTGCCTGCCCAAGCGCAGTCTGCAGCAAGAGGAGTCTGGCGGCCACTGCAGGGCAAGGGGCCTCCTGCCCTCTGACCCCTTTTCATACCGCAGAGTGTGTCCTGCCTGCCCCACCCACCTGGCATCTGTGGCTGGCGGAAGGAGCACCGGGCCTTTTCCAGATCTGCTACTCTCACACCTCCCCAAGGTGCCTCAAGGTGAACGGCCTTGATTTGGACCCCAGAAGCTGACTTCCCAGGGGTTCCCTGGAGGGGAAGGAGGACCTGAAGGAAGACAGCAAGGACAGGAGCAAGATCCGGCCTGCTGCCGGCCCCTCAGGGGTAGAGATCAAAGTCATCCCTGGATGCTGGTGCTTTGCAGCTACCTGTGCCACCTCTTGGGACATGAAACTGGCTGGTGCACCCTTCTCCTCTTTCACCCAAGGGTCATCAGGGACAGCCACAGACCCAGGGAAAAGCTCTTACTCCAGTTTCTTGGGCAACCAGAAAGACCAAGTGACACAGTTAGGTCCACAGACACCCACATGGATGTGGACTCAGGATTTGTGGGAAAGTGGCTCTTGGGTGTGGTGCCTCCTGCCCCTTCCTCTAGGCCTCTGGCTGCCTGGAGTGTGGCCATGGCAGCAGCATCTTGAGGCTGTGACAGAGCAGTCTAAAGAAATAGAGACCTCTGAGTTCTGATATCCTTCCCAGTACTCCAAGGAGGCTGAAGCAGGAACACTGCAAGTTTGAGCCCAGCCTGGGTTATTTAGTGACTTAGCAAGACCTTGTCTCAAAGGAAAGCAGTAAAAACAAAACAAAACAAAACAAAACAAAACAAAACAATGGTTGTGGATGTAGCTCAGCCAGGAGGGACTGGGTTCAGTCCCCAGTCTGCAAAACAAAACAAAAACAAAACACCTAAGCTAACACGCCAAGTCATCTGAGAGAGATGAGCCCCAGTCCTATCTAGGCCACTTTTTTTTAGATTTTCTGTTGCCAGAAGCTGAGCCACATCTGTACCCAGAGCATTGGAAACAGCAGTGACTTTTCCTGGAGGAGCCATGCTCCCAATGTCAGGGCATGATGACTGCAGGTTTCAGGGTGGGCATGGGAGACAGGGAGGACCTGGAAAGTAGGGTCCAGAGATGGGGAGAGGGTGGGGAAGGGGAGGCAGGAAGAGGAGCAGAAGGAGGACGAAAATAATTAGAGTACATAATGTGCTTGCACCAATACTCCACACAGAGCTCCCTGCTCCATTACAAATGCACACTACTTAGAAAGAGAAGCAGAGAAGTGGGGTGAGGACCTCGTGGCTGGCATGCTGCAGGGGGACTCTGGGAGGTGCAGAAATGCTGCAGGTGGGTCTAATTAGGTACGTGATGTAAATCTGCTCTTTTGTCTGTGTAATATGCAGTAACAGCTGCCCCACTTGGAATAAACTGTGAGCAGATGACCCTGTGTGCAGAAGATCCTGAAGTGTCTGCCACAAAGCGCGTAGAGCAAGCTCAGCAAATTCCTAAGACACAAGGTCAGTGTGTGAAGATCCCTAGTGTTTCTATACAGTGGGATGAATAAGCCAAAATGAAGTTGAGAAAACAATACCATTTACAATAGTATCTGAAGGAGTAAATACCTAGGAATAACATTAAGAGGAGTAGCACAACATTTAAAATCTGAAAAATCAAAGGTTTTTTTAAAGGAAGATAAAGAAAATTTGAATAACTGGAAAGATGGTCCACTTCGTAGATCAGAATATTTAATGCAATGAAGGTGGCAATGCTCCATGTCTTTGTTACTTTTCTTGTTGCTGAAACAAAATACCCAACACCCAAGGTTAAAGGATAAAAGGTTAATTTAGCTCACAATTTGTGGAGGTTTCGGTCCATAGTCAGCTGGCTCCAAGGCAGAGCGGCATGTGACGGAGCGGCAACTGTTCACAGCAGCACAGATGGCAAAGCCCTCAACAGTGTCTTTCAGCCCTGGAGTACTCTGTCTAGGCTACTGGGGTTAGGGCTGTGCCACCCATCTGTGGACTGATTCAGTGAACACCTTCCCTTAATCCCAGCGTCTCACACTCTAGATCCAGCCTCCTTGAAAAAGTCACATCAAGACTGTGGCTTTGCCAGGGGACATCCAGACACAAGTCACAACACTACAAAAATTCAGATGGAAATGCAAGTTATTCAGAAGAGTGAAAGAAATCTTGAAAAGAACAGAAATAGGAGACTGCTTTCTGATTTCAAACCTACAGTAAAGCTGTGGTGATAGAAAAAGAGTGTGATACAGGAAGGAGGACACAGATATATCTGAGCCCAGAGGGTTGGGAGTGCAGAGATAACCCTCACATTTCTGGTTAATGAATTTGCTTTTTTTTTTTTTTTTTTTGAGACAGGGTCTCACTATGCAGTTCACACTGGCCTTAAACTCACTTAGTAGCCCAGGCTGGTCTTGAACTTGCAATGATCCTCCTGCCTCAGCCTCCTGAGTGCTGGGATTACAGGAGTGCACCACCTCGCCTGGCTGGTTAATAAATTTTCATCTAGAGTTCCAAGATAATTCAACTGGAGAAAGAAGAGTCCATTTGACAAAGGTACTGGGTAAACTGCTTACTCACATGGAAAAGACTGAATTTAGATTATACACTGTTTACAAAAATTAACTCAAAAATCATTAAAGATCTAAGTGTAAGAAGCAAGAAACTTAACTCTTACAAAAAAGTAAAGAAATAAAATATTGCTGACTTTGAATTTGGCAATATTCCTTAGACGTGATATCCAAAGCACAACAATAACAACAATAAAAACAAAAAGTTAAGTTAGACTTCATCAATATTGAAATCATTTGTGCATCAATTCTAGCAAAAAAGTAAAAGATAACTCATGGGTTGGGAAAAATACGTGTGAATCTTTTTTTCTTTCATAAAGACCAGTCTCTAGAATCAATCTATAGAATTCTTATAATGCAGCATTAACCAAACAACCCGGTTTTAAAAAGTGGCAAAGGATTTGACTAGGTAAATAGCCGGTGGAGGTATTCTCAGTTTGATTAGCCATCAGGGAAATACAAACCAAAACCAAGATGAGGCCCTAGGAAGCACCCACTGACTACAACTATAATCACAATGACGGAGAGTTACAGTGTTAGCGAGGATGTGGAGAAACCGGAAAGAGAGGAGAACAGTGCAGATACTTTGCAAACAGGATGGCGGTGTTGTGGTCCAGGTCTAGATGTCTCCTAACCCTCCTGTGACTATAGGTGGAATCTTTGGGATTGGGATGGATCTGGGGGCTCATACCTGGCTTGCTCTTTGGAGGTGGGGTCAGGTGAGAGAGGTGGTCACTGTGGGCGTGACCCAGCTGGTTCCTCTCTTCCCAGCTCCTTTCTTGACTCTGCTTCTCGTCTGTTGTGTTGTGAGCAGCCCTTCTCTGCCATGCCCCTCTTCCCTGCCATCCTGCTTTGGCAGCCAACCTTGCAAGATGTCTTAGTTACCTTCTCATTGCTGAGACTTAATATCCAACACCCACAACTCAAAGGAGGAAAGATTCTTTTGGCTCACAGTTCCTAAGTCCATAGTAGGCAGCTGCAAGGCAACAAGGGGGTATGCAGAGGAGCCCTGCAGAGGAGACAGAGCCCAGGCCACGGCGAGCAGGAAGCAGAGAGGGATTAAGGGAGGCGGATGGGCTGTACATTGTTCCAGGCCATGCCCACAGTGACCATCTCCTCCTACCAGGCTTCCCCTGCCAGCATCACACCAGCTGTAGACAGGATTAATCCAGTACCAAACATCGTGATCCAGTACCACACACCTGCAATGCAGTACTACACATCCGCGATCCTGTACCACACACCCATGATCCAGCATCACACACCTGTGATCCAGTACTACACACTCACGATCCAGTACCACACACCCGTGATCTAGCACCACACACCTGTGATCCAGTACCACACACCTGTGATCCAGTACCACACATGCATGATCCAGCACCATACACCCATGATCCAGCACCACACACCCGTGATGCAGCACCACACACACATGATCCAGCACCATACACCTGTGATCCAGCACCACACACCTGTGATCCAGTACCACATACCTGTGATCCAGTACCACACACCCGTAATCCACTATCACACACCCATGATCCAGCACCACACGCCCGTGATCCAGCACCACACACCCATGACCCACTATCACACACACATGATCCAGCACCATACACCCGTGATACACACCTGTGATCCAGTACCACACACCCATGATCCAGCACCATACACCCATGAACCAGCACCACACGCCCGTGATCCAGCACCACACACCCACGATCCAGCATCACACACCCACGATCCAGCATCACACACCCATGATCCAGCACCACACACCCACGATCCAGCATCACACACCCACGATCCAGCACCACACACCCACGATCCAGCATCACACACCCACGATCCAGCATCACACACCCATGATCCAGCATCACACACCCATGATCCAGTACTACACACTCACGATCCAGCACCACACACCCGTGATCCAGCACCACACACCTGTGATCCAGCACCACACACCCGTGATCCAGCACCACACACCCGTGATCCAGCACCACACACCCATGATCCAGTACCACACACCTGTGATCCAGTACCACACACAGGTGATCCAGTACCACAAGGCATGATCCAGTCACTTGCAGAAGCCCCACCTATGAGCACATGAGGCTTTTTGGTGGGGAGGCATCTAGATACTAACCATAAAAGAAGGAGTAAAGGCTGGGGATTTAGCTCAGCAGCATAGGTGCTTACCTTGCAAGTGTGTGGTCATGAGTTTGATCCCAGGTACCGATTTAAAAAAAAAAAAAGTACTGAGGACTACTAAAACATGAACCAGAATGGACCTCTTTTTCTTTAAGTTGCAGGTGTCTGGTATCATGACCCAGTGACATAATGAAATGAAAAGTCTCACATCAGCCTCAGAGATGAGGGGAGGGGTCTTCTGTATCCCAGATTCCTGTGCTACCTCTTTTTTATGCCAACAAGGCATTGGGACGGTCTTACTGCCACACACACACTTGGCATTACATGTATAGACTGTACTATCGAAACCCTAATTGGTTTCCTGTTACTTTAAACGAAGGCTCAGGATTGGCTGTGCCTGCCAGCAAATGAAGGATTGAAAGAATGTCTCTGAGTGGTTCTGCAAACAGCACCAGATTCAAATGAAGGACTGAAAGAATGAGTTTCTGATTGGTCCACAGTAGCTCTCGTCTGATTGGTTCTGTGTAAGTGATGGTGATGGTCACTGTTTTAGGAGTGTCCCTCCCCACTGGAAGTGTCCCTCTCCTGTTGTTTTGTCTTACCCTGGACTTTCTGGTAAGTGAACCAATTCATTTCTCTGTTCCGTTTAAAAGTTTATGTTTGGTTTCTGTCACTTACAACCGGAAAAACCCTGACTCCTACAACAAGACTGCAACCTGGTTTTGTAGGGTTTATCGTGCTTTGGAATCTAACTCGGCTTTGGAGCGTGTAGTTCTCAGCTACACAAATAAACCCCAAGTGGGGGAAGCCATGTCCCAGGCCCCTCTCCCAGGGCTACAAGGGTAGGAGCCCAGGGTCCCTGGCTTAGAATCCAGCTGGCTCTGTCACCCAAGCAGGGAGGCTATTTCCCTTTCCACGTGTCTCACTTGACAGTGTCACAGCAAAACTGCAGAGTAAGTGAACTCATTAAAGCCATCAGTCATTTGATCTGGGGATAAAAATTACACACAATGCAGTCAGTTTCTGAAAAGCTATGTGAAATTTATTCAAGCTATTCAATTCGGCAAAGCCAGACAATGAATAAAAAATTTTTAAGCTGGAAGAATTTTTGACATCATCTGGCCCAAGACCTTCTTCTACTTTACAATTAATTAAATAACAAAAACACTTTCCTTCCTATTTGTTTAAAATACTAGCATTAAGTTCTTATTTTGCTCTAAATTAGCCCGTGCTGCTGCTGGATTTGGAGCCACAAGAGTCTCTTAATGACCTGTTTTCTGATGCTAGCCAAACGCCACCAGCTCATTAAAGTTCATTTCGGAGCAGACTTAAAGTTGCAGTGTGATTGGTGCCTGGGTTTGAAGGCATCTGAAGACTGGAAGTACAGGTGCAGTCGAGGTCAGAGGAGAGCGCAGAGAGCAGCTGTATCCAGAGGCAAACAGTGGAGTCCACACTCGTGAGCGGACAACCACCAGGCCCTGTGTGCTGGGAAGCAGGACCAGGAGACTGGAGAGCTGAAGTGGGGATCTGGGTGAAGCTGCAAGCCAGCAGAGGTCGGGAAACGGGGCAGAGGGCAAGGGCGTCAGGACTGGCAAAGCACCACACTCAGGCCGAGGGACATCCCGAGCTGAAAGGTGAGGGCTCTCTTCCTGCCCTGAGCTGGCCTCAGACCCGGCCTCGCCGCTCACCTCTGCCCACTCTCCTCCCTGCTCATCCCTTCTGCTTGCTCTGGCCCACTCCCCTTGGTGCTGGACTGGTACCAGCCCGCTGGACTCACTTCCAGGGTGCCTGCAGCACCCCCATACTGCCCCTGAAGACAACACCCAGGAGGGAACATCTGGCTCCTGTGGTGCTCGGATGTCGGTCACCAGATTTATGCAGGTTCCGCCTTCTGACCAGGGTGCCAAGTCCCTGAAAGCATTCTCCCTGCAGCTGTTCTCCCAAACCAGGCACGCTTGTCACCGGTGCCCAACACATGCACCAATTAAATATACAAGGTCCCTGGGCAGAGCTTTCACTTGAGCTGAGAGCAAGAGGCTTTGCTAATAAGCTGCCCTGGATCTCACTGGTTTTGTGCTTCAGTGTTTGGACTCGCTTTAGGGGCTATTGGCCCAAACAAAACCCACAGGGGCCTTTTAAGTAAAGGACCCAGCGTGCAAGTTCACAGCAAAAATAAAATAATGAATACCCTAGGGATCTTGAAGCCAGGGCAGTAATTTCAAATTTGTTAGACTTATTTTCTGACCAGCTTGGGAGCTAGGGCATGGCTCAGAGTGCCCCTTAAATGTACTGTTAATAAAGGACATCCCACCCGCGTCCCCAGGGGAAGGACATTGGCAAGGGAGCCACTGCTGGGAGACAGCTGCTTTACCTGGCAGCTAATGGCTGATCCTGGGCCAGGGAGGGAGGAGAAAGTAGGTGGAAACGCAATCCTTGTTTGGGTACAACAGTATCGGTGACATGACCAAAACTACTATTTCATGATATTAGATAATTACTGAGAGTATTTCAATATGGTAATGGTATTATGGTTCTGCAGCTAATAAAAGGACCATTATGTTTTAGAGATAGATATGCATGATTCTCTAATGAAGTGATCATTGCTCTGGAATTTGCTTTAAAATGAGGAATGGTGTGGGTACTGGGTAAGTGAGGACTTGTTGTTTTTCTCTACTTGTGTATATGCTTGAAATCTTCCATAATGAAAAGTTAAAAGTAACAGCACAGTAACCATAACCATGTCAACTTCTGGAACACTACAGTTCACTGTGTTCTCAGGCCCGGAGGGGTGTAGCATCCTCCTGGTCCAGGGAGGAGGATGCTGGGAAGGGGTGGTATCTTCACTATTTTTCTCTCAGTGCTGAGAGAAAATATTTGCTGCCCAAAATGAAGGGAGAAAAGTTTTATTTAGCTTACATTTTGTGGAGGCTTCAGTCCATACTCAGCTGGCTCCAAGGCAGGGTGGTGTGGCTGAGAGGCAACTGTTCATGGCAGCCAGAGCAGATATCAAAAGTGACAAGAGCAAAAAGGACAAAAAGAAAAGCATGCCTCTTTCCCTTCCTTATATTGTATGCCAGCTCCCTGCCCCTGGGTGGGTGCAGCACTCAAACTGTTGATCCCAGTGCTGGACAACAAACCAATCACAAATGCTAGATTCAGCAACCTCCATTTCTGTATGAGGCTTTGGGGAGATATCCAGACACAAACCATAACAGGTTGAATGTCCCTCAAACAGTTTCATTCTGGGGTTAGAACCTTCCATAGCACTGACCCATTCCTGGCTTTGAGGGCTTGGAGTAGGAGGAACAAGGAGACCACAACTGCCCTTTCTCCAGTTCTGGAGGAACTTGCTTCACATCAGGGGTCTGAGCTGGTCTTGCTCTCTATGGCCAAGCACACGTCTCAGAGTCAGTGAGTGACTGATTAAATAGTCAAGTTCCTGAGAGGCTTGCTGTGCCCCAGGCTGGCCACATTCAGCAGGTGCTTGCCCCTCTTGTGATGCCTGTGCAGCAAAACTGTGCAAAAGGACTTTGGGAAACATTTCTTCTCTTTGCTCTTTCAGGTTCTGTGCTTGGTACTTTGGCAGCTTAGATTTTGAGAGTGATTTGTGGAACAAGCCTCCTACCTGGGCACTGCCTAAACTCTGCAACTACATTCTTACAAGATGATGAGAAATTGAAAGGTGGCATGGCCAGGGGTCCTGAGGCCACAGAGAGATGGCGACTCACAAGGAATATGGACCACGGGCATCAAAAACCCCACTGGGGTGTTTCCACCTCCGTGAAGGGAGCTGTGATTTGAACTTGTGTTTGGTTGTGACTCTCAAGATTTCACTTTTTGATCCCCAAAGACCCCCTCTCCCCACATTTCAAGTCTGTATTTATTGGTTTACTGGCTTCTCCACTCTGAGGTTGTGTTCACAAAATTCAGCCATTCGAATGCTGAAGTCATCGTTTTCCTTCCAGTTTGTTCCCTTCCTATATTATGCTGCTGGAAATGCTGATGTCAGAACCCAGGGCCCAGTTGTCCCTGCTCAGCCACTCTGCACCTTGGGTATCTCAGGGATCTCCACGGGCTGTTGACCACTGTGGTTCCACCCACAGAATCGCTCTCTTGGACCGTGAGAACAGGTTCTCAGCCAGGATAGTTTCAGATGAAGGAACTCTGGTGTTTCCAAATGACAAGAGAATCAACTTGGGAAGAGGCAGGGTGGGTCATTATGGGCTTCCGGGGCCAGACAGGGAACTGGGGGATGTAAGGTCCCTGTTGAGCACGTAAACACCACACCCTGGTGTTCACTCAGATGTGGCCAAGGAAGGCCATCCCAGCCCTGGCTTCACAGAGTCTCCATGAGCTTCAGAACCAGGAACCCTGGCTCAAGTCTGGGTGTGCAGCTTTCCCACAGCTATGAGGAGAAAGGTAAGCCATGGAGGGGTGTGGTGGGTGTGGAGTGTGCCCCATGTTATCTGTACTCAAGAACAATGGCTTCCCAAATTCTTCCAGAAAAGAAAGTTTCTTCAAGAAGGAAGGTTGAGAATCAAATAAATAAAACAATGGGTATAGAGAAAATGTCTAAACCATTCTCCACAATTCCCACATTTCCTTAACATCTCATATTTGATTGTAAAACAACGTTGAGGTCAGGTATGGTGGCACACACCCGTGATCCTAGTGCTTGGGAGGCTGAGGTAGGAGGATCACTGTAGATTGAAGCCAGCTTGAGGTACATGAAGAATTGAAGGCTGGTCTGAACTACATAGCAAGACTCTTATCTCATTAAAAAAATCAGTGTTGATAGTACTTTGGGCTCTGTAAAAGGTTTGTTTGGTTACAAACAACTGTGGGTATTTTTCTTTGGAGCTGTGTAGGAGAAATGAATGTGTCAGTCAAAAATGGCACCTGGGATGTTGAGCACCATCCGCTGCTGCCCACGAAACCTGAGATGCAGGGAGAATGGCAGGGCCGGGGACACCAGGGCTATGGGGCTCGCATCCCACCATTAGCAGTTGGAACTAAGTCGAGAACCCTGAGTGCTAGGGTCTCCCCACTAGGCTTTGGTAGGGTCAGGGACCAGGCAGGAAGAATCCATAGATATTGGAGGCTACAGTCTGTGGCTCCTTCTCAAAAGCGTGGGGATGCAGAGCAGTGCGGATATTCTGCCCCCTCTACTTGCCTGCCATGCAAGTTCTGCTGTCTCACTTAGCTCCCAGGGGCTTGCACACTAATTTGACTTCTTTCCGAAATGGTATCTATTTCCCATCTGCAATTCTCAAGCATCAGACTGGGAAGTATTTAACATTCTTATT